CTTCTTCTTTTTTTATTTTTTATTTTTTATTTTTATTTTTATTTTTTATTTATTTATTTTTTTTTTTATATTTGGCGGGCCAGCCCGCCTAGCCCGCGGCCCGTGGCGGGGTGGGCCGGGCTGGCCAATTAGAGGCCCGCCAAGATGGCGGGCTGGCCCGCCCTGCCCCGCCAAATGGCGGGTTTTGGCGGGCTGCGGGCCGGCCCGCCCCGCCGGCCCGTTTTGACAAGCCTACTGCAATCTGGACGAGTTCACGAGCTTCTATGATCCCAAAAAGTAGTAATTGTTCAAATATGGATGGAACAAAAATATGAAGCTCTTTCTGTACTTGTATTTACATTACATTGATAGTTGTTATGAATTATTGATATTTGAAGATCTTTTATTATAAGAACTCATTTTGTGCTTAGTCTTAAAAACATTATACTTTTCTAATGCATATTGGTGGTGTTTATGAAGACATTATTATATTTTATCATTCAGAATCATTAGTTTATTTTATTGCTCATATTTAAATGTAAAAATAACTGGTCCAATTTAACCATAACCGGTTTAATTTTATTCTTCATATTTAAATGCAAAAATAACTGACCAAACTTGACCGTGGGCAAAGCACGGCGGGTCCTTCCCTAGTATATATATATATATATATATATTACTAATGTCTAATATATGTTAAATTGTTAATGTTATATTTAAGTTTAACATACAATCAGATTTTCAGATCACTTATCTAAAAAAGTCGACCTCCCTCCTAACCCTAGCTTCGTCCCCTTTCACTCTTTCAGCCTCCTCAGTCCTCACGCGGCGCCTCTCTTCTTCGGTTCTCCGACCTCTGCGACGCTTCTGCCTCCGCCTCCGGCCTCCGGCCTCGGTCTCCAGCGTCGGCCTTCAAGGACAGCCTCCGCCTCTAACCTCTGTGTCCGCCTCCAGCCTCCTCCGCCGTCCTCCACTTTCGAGACCCATCAAAGTTTAGCTCCTCCGCCGCCCTCCTCAGCCTCGAAGTTCGGGTTCTCCGTCTCCAATTTCTTGAGTATTTCCGGTATCAGCCTCGAAGTCGAAGGTATGTTGCTCACCAACTTGAATTGATAATAATATTAGTTTAATACCCTTCATCATAAATGTCAATAAGACCATGAACTAAAAGTTCACCGGAGCATTGATTGAAAAGTCCAAAATATCCAAATTAGTCGACTTCGCAAAATTTTGCTGTGAACAATATATCTCGGGAGAGATAATGCCAGACCATATGCTTTTTATGCATGCCAAATGCCCTGGCTAAGTAAAGAAACCAATCTGAACAGAACATTTGTAACCAAAAGCTTAAAATGTGAACGGGACAGCAATTGAGTCATAACAAATAGTTCAGTGGGCTACAACAGTTAATGCACAAAACTGCAAGCACCTACTCCCACTATTACTGTCTTCCTGTCTTCCTGTCTCGGACAGTTAAAAGAAATCTCAAAACAGCAAATAATATTACTTCTTCTAATAAATTTAAATAAAATGTGTTACATAAATATCTAAACAATTTATAAATTCAAATGTTTAAACCAATTGATAAATAATTTATAAATCACTATTTTATTTAAATATGTAATTTTATTTAAAATAATTTTAAATATAACAAAATTTATTTAGAAAATCGTATCGATCCTACCAGTTCAACCGACTGGTGTTGACGGATTCGAGAGCAAATATTTTATTTAAGCGAACTAGATTGGTTATAAACCGGTTCTCGGTCCATCCGGTCGGACTGTGTCCAACCCGGTTTAATTTAAAAGCAATAGATAAATCATGATTAATGTAATTTTTATATTTAGTTTATAATACAATCCTAATATTGTTTTCCCGTGCATCGCACGGGCCACGCACTAGTACATTATTAATTTAGGTTCTTATATACATTATTTAAAACAAAATGTAAAGGCATATAATATCACCAATTTTAGATAAATCCACCATAACTGAAATCACTAGTTCAATTCAATTTGCAAGTTGCATCACAAACAACTTGAATCTACAGATGCATTCTTCCACTTTATAGTTGTAAGCTTTCTCCATTAGTGTTACTATAACATAATAACTCGGTTTATAGTCGTAAGCTTTCTCCATTAGTGTTACTATAACATAATAATCTCAGGGTTTTGACTCTTGGTTTTGTGAGATATACAAGTTGGTATTTATTTTTTAAGAGTAATGCCTTTTTATTTTGGTACTGTAGAACACACAGAAAATAACATCATAGGAAATCAACTAATCAACCAATGTTAGCACATAAAATAAAAATATATAAAATGGTGTCCTATTGTACAAAATTGAGCATAAAAACTTAGTTAGTTTACAAGAGGCAAAAAGGCTCTGCCTACAATGGTGTTCCAGAGTGCCATACATGAATGATTCGAATGAAATGCAATATATCATCAAAATGGACAAATAGATACAAATTTACACTAAAAACACATGAACCATCAACTAATTTTAATATCCAAAGTGTTCCAAATCCTTTACTTCAGATTTTCCAAGAAAGCATACTACTATATTGATGTTAAAGAAAGGAATATTTTCATCATACTAAGACAAAAAAGTTCAAAACATATGTAAAAAGTAGATGGGCATACAACTTTTAGTGAACAAATAAATACACATTAAAAACTCACATTCCACAGAGGAATTACCACTCAAATGCGGTAAATCTTGTGTACATGGATAGTGAATTTACATCAAAACAAGACTTCAGTCAAGAATTCAACAAAGATACCCAGGTATACATATTGTAGAGAAAAATATCTTAAGAACAATGAAAATATTCCATAAGTAACTGCAACAGCTCAGACCACCCTACATGGCTGTAAATAATTTTATTGTGTGTATTTCACATATATCCATGACAACAATCGTAGAAAAGACATGAGTTTTTCTTTTTTCCCTTTAATGCGTTGATCCAATATTGTTCAAACATTTTTACAATGAGACTAAAGTCTCCCTTCTGCTCCCTCTTTTTCTATGGAAAAACTAAATTAAGAATTAGATTGTGAATTTCTAGAAGTTAAAACTTACACTAACTCGTTCTTAATGGTTGGAGAATGAAATCAATAGTTATTTAAGGCTAACTACTCACAATATTACAAAATTTAACATGAAAGAGATTATGAAATAAGAAATGTAACACCAACCATACCATATAGCATAAGAGACAGATAGGATAATTTTGTCTGAAACTACCATTTGACCAGTTAAATCTGCCGCTGATAGTATAATTTGGTCAAAACGTAGTGGCCTTCTATGATAATAGATTTTAAAGACATGAAGTGGACATTCATTGAAAAATATAAAGGAAAAAAATGATTAAAAATATAACTTGTTATATTTTAAGTACAAAGAAAGATAATTCAACACCAATAGGAATGAAACCCAAAATAACCTCCTGTGAACTTCCATATAAAAGAAGATGAAAAAAGGAAATTGTTTATACTTTTCATTATAAAGAGATGATTCAACATATATAAAAAAAAATAAACAAAAATAATGTTATGAGAACTTCCTTGTTCTTTTTTCCTTTTTTTTTGGATGAATTCATGTACTTGAAAATTTGAAGTGATTGTAACATACCTTTTCCTTTTCCAAATGTAGCAGAGCTGCCTCGCATCGAGTGAGAAACGAGAAGGAAAAAACAAAGATCTATATCTGTGATGAATTTCAAAGAACGTGATCGAATATAGCAATGATATAAAGTTGAAAGAGGGAGTCGGGTGGTATCAAAGGATCAGTTGCCTATTGTGGAATTTGACTATTTTACCTTAAAAAAAGAAGAAGAAAAAAGCAGAAGCATATAGATTAGATAGATTGCTGCTAACATGTGCTGCATAAGTAACAAACTACCAACAAATATCAGTCAAAACTGAAATCTATACGGAAGGGAGTGTTTGCTGGCTACACAAAATAGAAATCAGACGAAGTTCGCATGCTTTTTCTCCCCCTCCACAGAGCCAACTTCTAAGTATCCTACCATCTATCAAGATTATGCTTTGCAAAAATTATTTCTTTCTTCTTCTGGTAATCCAATTCACACTTTAAGAAACTTAAAAGTAGAGGACACCAGCAAAACTAATCTAATATCTAGACGCAGGAATGTGCATTTTTCTCAAAAATAATAAAAAAAATGCATTCCAATAGACATACACCTAGTTGCATATTTCAAGAAAAACAAGATATGAAGCAACTTAATTCAATAGAACTGCCAAGATAACTAATTGCGAAAAGCAAAACCTCACTGCTCCTGCAAATTTGAAGAGCTAATTTATATCCAAGCATCCCCTAATAGCATTTTGAATATTCTTGCTAGGTTTTATGCTATTTGCATTCACTTCTGTAGTTTCTAATTTCCAACCTTTCTATGTTTGGTGCACTTTTCCTTACTTTGGTCCCCCATTTGCATTCACTTCTGTAGTTTCTAACTTACATCCTCTCTGTGTGTGTATTTATATCCTTTAGAATCTATTATCATAATGGGCTGGCAGGGTGGGCTGGCCAGCAGCCGGGCCCAACCACAGACACGGCACGCGGGCTGACCCGCCCAAATTATTAAAAAAATGTGAAAATAAAAAACAGGGGCTAGGGGCTGTTGCAATGCTGCTGGGACATGGCAGGGAGCTAAAAATTTGAGAATTTGGATATACATTGGGCAAAAATATGTGAAGGTACTCACGTCTCTCTCTCACAGTCCACAGAGGGTAGAGGCATAGCCCAGGCAACTCAAAAAATAAATAAGTACATAGAAAAGCCAAAAGTTTAGTTAACATTACCGGAATGTATCGACGGACTGAAGCCGTCTCGCCGCTCGGCAGGTCTCTCTTTCCGTCGCCTGCTCGCTCTGTCACTCTCTAAGTTTCTAGTCGTCGCCGTTGCTGGGGATTTTTTGGCTCTGTCACTCTCTTAAGTTTCTAGTTTCTGCTCGCCAGCACATAGCAAAAGTTTTTGTTTGCACACAGACGGGCTGGCCTAGGGCTGTTGATCTACACCTACAAAATAGAAATAATTAAAAATCGAAGAAAAATTAAATTGACGAAACTTTTGTCACAAACCGAATTAAAATCAAAAGTTTGATTTTATTTTCAGCTTGATTGGGAAATTATTTTCAGTTTGATTTTAATTCGGTTTGTGACAAAAGTTTCGTCAATTTAATTTTTCTTCGATTTTTAATTATTTCGGTTTTGTAGGTGTAGATCAACAGCCCTAGGCCGTCTGTGTGTAAACAAAAACTTTTGGGATGTGCTGGCGAGCAGAAACTAGAAACTTAAGAGAGTGACAGAGCCAAAAAATTCCCAGCAACGGCGGCGACTAGAAACTTAGAGAGTGACAGAGCGAGCAGGCGACGGAAAGAGAGACCTGCCGAGCGGCGAGACGGCTTCAGTCCGTCGATACATTCCGGTAATGTTAACTAAATTTTTGGCTTTTCTATGTACTTATTTATTTTTTGAGTTGTCTGGGCTATGCCTCTACCCTCTGTGGACTGTGAGAGAGAGACGTGAGTACCTTCACATATTTTTGCCCAATGTATATCCAAATTCTCAAATTTTTAGCTCCCTGCCATGTCCCAGCAGCATTGCAACAGCCCCTAGCCCGTGTTTTTTATTTTCACATTTTTCTAATAATTTGGGCGGGTCAGCCCGCGTGCCGTGTCTGTGGTTGGGCCGGGCTGCTGGCCAGCCCGCCCTGCCCGCCCATTATGATAATAGATTCTAAAGGATATAAATACACACACAGAGAGGATGTAAGTTAGAAACTACATAAGTGAATGCAAATGGGGGACCAAAGTAAGGAAAAGTGCACCAAACATAGAAAGGATGGAAATTAGAGACTACAGAAGTGAATGCAAATAGCATAAAACCTAGCAGGAATATTCAAAATGCTATTAGGGGATGCTTGGATATAAGAGACGTGAGTACCTTCACATATTTTTGCCCAATGTATATCCAAATTCTCAAATTTTTAGCTCCCTGCCATGTCCCAGCAGCATTGCAACAGCCCCTAGCCCGTGTTTTTTATTTTCACATTTTTCTAATAATTTGGGCGGGTCAGCCCGCGTGCCGTGTCTGTGGTTGGGCCGGGCTGCTGGCCAGCCCGCCCTGCCCGCCCATTATGATAATAGATTCTAAAGGATATAAATACACACACAGAGAGGATGTAAGTTAGAAACTACATAAGTGAATGCAAATGGGGGACCAAAGTAAGGAAAAGTGCACCAAACATAGAAAGGATGGAAATTAGAGACTACAGAAATGAATGCAAATAGCATAAAACCTAGCAGGAATATTCAAAATGCTATTAGGGGATGCTTGGATATAAATTAGCTGTTCAAATTTGCAGGAGCAGTGAGGTTTTGCTTTTCGCAATTAGTTATCTTGGCAGTTCTATTGAATTAAGTTGCTTCATATCTTGTTTTTCTTGAAATATGCAACTAGGTGTATGTCTATTGGAATGCATTTTTTTTATTATTTTTGAGAAAAATGCACATTCCTGCGTCTAGATATTAGATTAGTTTTGCTGGTGTCCTCTTCGTTTAAGTTTCTTAAAGTGTGAATTGGATTACCAGAAGAAAGAAATAATTTTTGCAAAGCATAATCTTGATAGATGGTAGGATACTTAGAAGTTGGCTCTGTGGAGGGGGAGAAAAAGCATGCGAACTTCGTCTGATTTCTATTTTGTGTAGCCAGCAAACACTCCCTTCCGTATAGATCTCGGTTTTGACTGATATCTGTTGGTAGTTTGTTACTTATGCAGCACATGTTAGCAGCAATCTATCTAATCTATATTCTTTTTCCTTTTTTTAAGGTAAAATAGTCAAATTCCACAATAGGCAACTGATCTTTTGATACCACCCGACTCCCTCTTTCAACTTTATATCATTGCTATATTCGATCACGTTCTTTTGTTTCAGAATTCATCACAGATATAGATCTTTGTTTTTTCCTTCTCGTTTCTCACTCGATGCGAGGCAGCTCTGCTACATTCGGAAAAGGAAAAGGTATGTTACAATCACTTCAAATTTTCAAGTACATGAATTCATCCAAAAGGAAAAAAGAACAAGGAAGTTCTCATAACATTATTTTTGTTTATTTTTTTTTATAGATGTTGAATCATCTCTTTATAATGAAAAGTATAAACAATTTCTTTTTTTCATCTTCTTTTATTTGGAAGTTCACAGGAGGTTATTTTGGGTTTCATTCCTATTGGTGTTGAATTATCTTTCTTTGTACTTAAAATATAACAAGTTATATTTTTAATCATTTTTTTCCTTTATATTTTTCAATGAATGTCCACTTCATGTCTTCATTTTCTTCGTGACGGAAAATTGTGGTGGGGATGTTGTAACCTACCAAGGGACTGTGAAGGAACATTACACTCCGTATCAGTTAAGAGTTGGTGCACTTTTCTTTAGTTTGTCCCCCCATTTGCATTCACTTCAGTAGTTTTGAATTTCCATACTCTGTGTGTATCTTTTAAAATCTATTATCATAGAAGGCCACTACTTTTTGACCAAATTATACTATCAGCGGAGACTTAACTTAACTGGTCAAATGGTAGTTTCAGACAAAATTATCCTATCTGTCTCTTATGCTATATGGTATGGTTGGTGTTACATTTCTTATTTCATAATCTCTTTCATGTTAAATTTTGTAATATTGTGAGTAGTTAGCCTTAAATAACTATTGATTTCATTCTCCAACCATTAAGAACGAGTTAGTGTAAGTTTTAACTTCTAGAAATTCACAATCTAATTCTTAATTTAGTTTTTCCATAGAAAAAGAGGGAGCAGAAGGGAAACTTTAGTCTCATTGTAAAAATGTTTGAACAATATTGGATCAACGCATTAAAGGAAAAGAAAAAAACTCATGTCTTTTCTACGATTGTTGTCATGGATATATGTGAAATACACACAATAAAATTATTTACAGCCATGTAGGGTGGTCTGAGCTGTTGCAGTTACTTATGGAATATTTTCATTGTTCTTAAGATATTTTTCTCTACAATATGTATACCTGGGTATCTTTGTTGAATTCTTGACTGAAGTCTTGTTTTGATGTAAATTCACTATCCATGTACACAAGATTTACCGCATTTGAGTGGTAATTCCTCTGTGGAATGTGAGTTTTTAATGTGTATTTATTTGTTCACTAAAAGTTGTATGCCCATCTACTTTTTACATATGTTTTGAACTTTTTTGTCTTAGTATGATGAAAATATTCCTTTCTTTAACATCAATATAGTAGTATGCTTTCTTGGAAAATCTGAAGTAAAGGATTTGGAACACTTTGGATATTAAAATTAGTTGATGGTTCATGTGTTTTTAGTGTAAATTTGTATCTATTTGTCCATTTTGATGATATATTGCATTTCATTCGAATCATTCATGTATGGCACTCTGGAACACCATTGAAGGCAGAGCCTTTTTGCCTCTTGTAAACTAACTAAGTTTTTATGCTCAATTTTGTACAATAGGACACCATTTTATATATTTTTATTTTATGCGCTAACATTGGTTGATTTCCTATGATGTTATTTTCTGTGTGTTCTACAGTACCAAAATAAAAGGCATTACTCTTAAAAAATAAATACCAACTTGTATATCTCATAAAACCAAGAGTCAAAACCCTGAGATTATTATGTTATAGTAACACTAATGGAGAAAGCTTATGACTATAAACCGAGTTACTATGTTATAGTAACACTAATGGAGAAAGCTTACAACTATAAAGTGGAAGAACGCATCTGTAACCTCACATATGATTCAAGTTGTTTGTGATGCAACTTGCAAATTGAATTGAACTAGTGATTTCAGTTATGGTGGATTTATCTAAAATTGGTGATATTATATGCCTTTACATTTTGTTTTAAATAATGTATATAAGAACCTAAATTAATAATGTACTAGTGCGTGGCCCGTGCGATGCACGGGAAAACAATATTAGGATTGTATTATAAACTAAATATAAAAATTACATTAATCATGATTTATCTATTGCTTTTAAATTAAACCGGGTTGGACACAGTCCGACCGGATGGACCGAGAACCGGTTTATAACCAATCTAGTTCGCTTAAATAAAATATTTGCTCTCGAATCCGTCAACACCAGTTGGTTGGACTGGTAGGATCGATACGATTTTCTAAATAAATTTTGTTATATTTAAAGTTATTTTAAATAAAATTATATATTTAAATAAAATAGTGATTTATAAATTATTTATCAATTAGTTTAAACATTTGAATTTATAAATTGTTTAGATATTTATGTAACACATTTTATTTAAATTTATTACAAGAAGTAATATATATATATATATATATTAAAATATTTATAAATTAAAATCTGAACAAACCACAAATGATTTAATAAAATAGCTTGATCGTTTCGATGGCGGTCCAGTTCTGAAAACCTTATATTTACTCTACATTAATAAATATATAATAAAATATTATTTAATTTACATAAATATTAATAAAACGATATTTTAATATTCATAAATCATTAAACATGTTGTCGCTTTTATTGTTAATACAATTATTTGAAGTTTGGACTACATCACATTCACGTAATAAAATATTTTCAATATAAAAATTTATATTAGGTTCAATAATTGATTTGGTGTGGTCGAACTGATCATAACTTAGTCACTTGGGACCAACCAAGTTGTGTCAAGTTTTTTAACTATTTTAAATATCACCTAAAAGTAATTCAATCAACCTGGGCAGTACCCTAATTCAATCACGCGATTGGTCCGAAGAAAATTTATTATTTTATTTAAATATATTTAATTTAATGAAATAAAAATATTTTATATTTCATATAATAAATGTCTACACAAAATGATAATATATTAAGATTATAAATTATATATCTAAAGATGAATTAATTATTTTTACTTTATGCATATTAATAAAAAAAAATAAACATAGTAATTTTCAATAAATTAAGATTAATTGATTGATTATATGCAATTTAAAGAATATTTTTAGCGTTCAATATTTTTTTAAAGGCACAAATATAAAGACCGAGATTCTAAAATTTTTGTTATAGTTTGAATTGAGATTTTATAAATATAGAGATCGAGATTTTAATGTTGTTCGTTGTTTCTAAAAAAAAATAATAAAAATAAAAACATACACACTTAATAAATCTTAGCCGGATTTTTTAAATAATAAAGTGAACTAAAGTCAAAAATTTAAGGTAGCATTTAATGTTGTATGATTTTTTAAGAAAAAAATAGAAAAAATAATAAAACTTACTATTTATAGGCTGCATTAAAATCTGACCTATTTTTTTGCTACTATTTTTGGTAAATGGTAATTCTTATTATATATATATAGATTCCCTAACAACATGCAACTCACACGCCCCTTACTAGTAGTCAATAAAAATGTCATGCATTCCTTCAATTTGCTTTCTATGTTTGATTGACTTATCTGAGATTTCCTGCTTTGTCTTGTTCGAGAGGTGATTATATGTTTTGTCTATACTGTCATTGTGGATAAAATAGTTATAAAGGAACTATGAAGTGTCATTTTCTCATATTATTTTCTTTACTGTCAGATCCTCAGAGGTCACTTTCACACACATACATAGTACCTTTCATAGTAATTTGTTTTTATCGTTTGTTTTCTTCCTTCAGAGAAGGATACTGTGTAGCAACTGACGACCTCATAGTTGGGAAATTTATCTGATGATAGAGAACCGCAGATATGGTTAATAATGGGAGCAAAGCTGGAGTCTCAACAGGCGCACCACGTGAACTGAATGTATGGAAATTCGTAGAGTCCAGAGCTCCTGAACTTGAGGGCCTTCACACTATTGTTGCTCAACGTCTGGACCACAGTTTTCGGTCCCAGAGGAACAAGAGGAGGAGAACTACAGGACACGACAACAGGGTTGCAAAAAAGAAACCTAGGAAGAAAAGGAAAGTTGGAGAGGATAATACAGTTGAAACTGATTTGGAGAGAACAGTTGAAAAGAAAGTTCCCCGTCGTGTTCGAAGGAACATTGAACTCAAGAAAAACCCGTCTAGTGGATTTGGTACTTCAACAGATGGGACAAAGAGACTAAGAACTCATGTTTGGCATGCGAAGCGGTTCACGATGAAAAAGCTTTGGGGATTCTATATTCCTCTTGGTCTTCACGGCAGGTAAATTCTTTGTTTCTGTTATTTGACTGCAAAGTTATCTGTAATGTAATTTTTGTCTATTTTAAGCTTTTATGCTCTTGCTCTACTACTCAATTGTTTAAGAAACAAATATGTAATAATGAGGTCGAAGTGAGTTTAGAACAATTCTCACAATAATCATCTTTCAAATGCCTTTGTATGTAACTTATCCATAATGCATGTGGTGCAGAGGAAGAGGCTCAAGAGCTCTACTGAAAAAATTAAAACATGGATCACTTGTGCATGATGCGAGTTATTATGGATCACTACAGTTGCAGGGTCCAGAGGTTAGGCTTCTTTGTAACTTAGATGTCATGCATTTTAGATTTTAACACCCGTCACAACGTCATTATCGTCCATTTATTTTTCCAGAATTTGAAAGTTTGTCCCTTTCTTGTATAAATACTTTGTGGGTTAAACATTGTTCACGTTTTCTAGGGCAAGTTGATATCAGTTATTGGTTCAGTGTTGGTGCCTTCTCCATCAGCATGTTGTGAAGAAACTTCACATGATATTCTTGCTGGCACCATCTTTGGATCTGCTATGGTGTGTGAACCATCTTTTCACTTTTCTACATTTGATATTGCTCAATTGATAGATTTTTCAGTCACAGTATGAATATTTTGCAGCTTCATCATCCTGGAAAAACATGTTTCTCTCCTATTGCTCCTGTGACCTATATGTGGCGACCTCGGCAGGGAATCTCTACTGACACAGAAAGGCTTAGAACAGATGTTTCTGATGGAGAACAGAAAGTTTGTGATGAGACTATCATTCGCCAGCTCTTGGTGTGGGTACATGCTGCTGCTTTTCAAGAAGCATATGATTCTTTGAGCTCTGCCTGTGGGAGGCATGTATGTACACACCCTTTTAATTTTGTCAACCTGTAGGATTGTATTTAACTTCATTTTATCTGTTGATCTGTTTAAATAAGTGAATGGACTTGTGCACTAGATTCTTAGTTAAATGCTTTTATGCGGTGTTGTATATTGGGTATTCTTTTAATACATTATAAATTGTGATCTTAAGAGGTTAAACTTCCTAGTGTTTCTACTGAACTTTCTCTGTTACTTTCTAAAAATGTGACAATTATAACCCAGAGGATAGAGTGAACTGCATGAAGCATTTCAGCAGTAATGCATATGAAGTCCCCCGCAAGGCACTCGAGTATTTCTACCGCGTATTTTTTTTAAGCATACCTTGATGGCATGTGTTTATTTCAGGCAGACATGACCCCTTCAGCTCACTGTGTTTCTCGTGAGGGCCAGCTTGCGAGATTGGAATTGGTAGGATCAAAAGTATTTGAACTGCTGCAGAAGACTCTGCTTCCTGCTAGCTGGTGAGATACTCTAAGCCGTTAGTATTTTTAGCCATTCTAAGTATTGTCCTAATTATGGTCATATTTTTTTTTTTTTTTCACAGTAAATGTTCGTTTGATGAGCATGTGGATCTTGGGGAATCAGAAAAGACTTCAATCTTTCATAATGGACATCAGAATTCATCTACATCAATTGTTTCAGTTGTTGTGAAGGACCCTCGGTTATTGACTAAGAAGGGAAATGTTATTGTTCCTGAAGTAAAACCTCGTGGCTTATCAAGTAATGGAGATTTTCAAGTTGAAGAGCAAACTTGTTCATCAGTGCCTGAGCATGAAGCTGAATTTGCAATTCAGAACTGTGATTTATGGGATGCGAGAAAAGGGGCATGTCCCCCTATGGAAGAAAGTATTCTTTGTTTGAAAAAACATAATAGTCGTAAGGAGTTTTTTCGCCTGGGTCATCAAAGTTCTGAGCCTCAATCTTCTGTTCCTGGAGAGTACTCGAGTGAGTGCCCTGTTTTGCTATTGAAACACGGTACCAGTGAAAAATCAGTTACTAGGTAAAATTTTTACAATTGTGGTTTTCATCTGTCTATTGTTTTTCTCCTTCCATTTTTCTTTGTGAAAAGTTCCAATGTGATTTATCACCATAACAGTTTATTTTGCAATGTTTTATTTTATTCTCGAGTACACGTGCACTTCCCTGGAGCCATTCATGATTTATCATGAATTCATGATTAGTGGTATCTCAGAATATATTTGGAAAGAACAAAAAAATAAAAAAATTCCTGAAGTGCATCCATATGCATAATGCATTGTTTTGGTGTTCATGTAATTAAGCTGACTTCTGTTACCAAATGTTTTTGTAAATATGATATGGTATACAAACTATAGATTAGGGCATCTCATTTGGGAATTAGTATGATCCCGTAGATTGGGCAATGGAGTCTTTTCTTAGCTTTGTGTACTCCCTTAGGGATTTATGTAACAAATCAGCACTTTACACCAAATTCAGTGTAAAATATTGTTTTTAGTGTCTGTGTGTGTGAGTGTGATAACGTCAAAGAAATGAACTTAATTGCCTGTTACATGCTTTGAATAAGAGAATGAAATTTGTTACGGATGTTAAATGAATGCTGTTATGTATGCTCTGGTATCTGTATTTGTAA